GCCTATGGTCCTGGACTAAACAAAAAGGAGAAACTGAGCTGTGTACCACATTCATCTCCTTCTGTTTCTTCACTGTGGATGTCATGTGACCAGCCATCTCCTGCTCCTATACTATGTCTTCCCCACATGATGAACTGTACCCTTATACTGTGACCCTAGTAAACCCTTCCTTTCTTAAGTTGCTTTTGTTAGGTATTTTGTCACAGCAATAAGAATAGAAGTTAATACAGAAAATTGATACCAGGAGTGGGGTCATTGCTATGATAAACCTGATCATGTGGTGCTTAGGTTGTTGGTTTGCAGGAAGAATTTAAAAGTGTTTAAAGTTTTAGGCTAGAGAAGCCCTAGAATGCTGCAATCAGAGTGCAAGGACCTCTCTAGTGGGAGTTTGAAAATCAGAATGCTTAAAAATATTGTGAACAGTGAAAGCCTGGCTCATGAGAGTTCACAAGGGAACATGGATTTTTATCAGGAATTAGACTACATGCCATTCACATTGCATTATGGCAAAGAATCTGGCTGTATTCTGCTGCTGTCCTGAGAACTTGATTGAAGCTGAATTAAAAGGAAATGAACAAATTTATTTGGCAGTGTAAATTTCAAGATAAGGTATTCTGCTGTGGCATGGGAACCGCTCACTGCTTATACTTAGATGTACAGTGAGAGAGAACAGCAGATGGAGCAGAAAGATATAAAAAGTAAAGTTTGTCACAGAAAGGAGCATGAGAAAGTTTAAATTTGTACACAAGACTGGTGTAGAGAAAGCAGCTATCAATGTTAAAGAGAGAAACGTCATTAAAAAAATACTCAGTTCTCTGCACTGGGACAATAAGAAAGGTCACCTGAGGGTAAGACCCCACCAATCAAAGGCTCCAACCTGTACAGTGAAAGTCCATGTGGAAGGAGAGGGCCTATACTGAGCGCGTTAGCACAAGGGTTCCCTGCTCCAAACAAACCACCTAGGAAAGTGTTTCCTCAAGGCCAGACTCAAAGGCACATAGAGGTTGCTGCAACTGTAGCCTGAGGGGGCTGGTGACATCTTGAACTGGCAGTAGGACTTGGCAGCATTGTCCACATGGTAGTGGTTTTAAAAAGAGAAAGTGGGCTGAATACCAGTATTCAGCTCTCTGCTTCTTGACTGTGAGTGCTGTGTGGCCGGCCACCCCGTGTTCCTGCCCCCATGCTTTCCTGCCACGATGGACTGTGAGGCAAAATAAACCTTTCTTTCCTGAAGAAAGAAATGCTTTTGTCGGGCATTTTTGTCTCAGCAACAAACTTAACTAAGACATAAGTTATTTATTTTTATGAAGTACCTAAAAGACATTTTCCTCAAAATTGCTTTGTTTATCTTGATAAGGAATATAGCCTTTTTAATTAAATGTAATAATTACTTTTCTATTATTGGGCATTTTATTTCAAAAGTTCATTTTTAATTATGCTTCATAATATTCTTAACCAAGATTTTTATTTTAACTCATAAGCAAGTTGCCTGAAATTGAAGAACTGGAATTAGGAAGATAAAAATACATGTTCATGTTTAGGTGTTCCAAGACCTTTGTGAATTCAGGAATATCCCTTTCTTTCCAGTCACAAATGCCAGGCCATCCTTAAGGAGCAGTTTTTGGTATGAAAAGAATGTCTGTCTGATCTTTTCTTTTCATACAAAAAGAGACTGACAGTACAATGGAAACCCAATTTCTATTAGCTAATTAATTAAAACAGTACTGTTGGCCCGCTTAAGACTTCTTCAGATTATACTTTGTATTTTCTGCATAGAGGGAAAGAGTGTTAAATAGCATTACTAATTAATCTTCCTTTGATCCTCAAGTGTTTGTGTGTAATTGTCACGGCTCATTAAATCTGTTCGTTGAGGAGGGAAGAGAGGAGAAATGTGCTCCCTGCTCACCCCCAACCAGTCTGTAGTTTCTCCTCTGGATAGGGAGGACTAAAATATTCCTGGTACCCCAGCTGGGCTGTACCTCCAGCCCAGTGGCTGCTCCACACCTGACTCTTCTGCACATATTGATTTCAACCCATAGAAGAAATTAAGAAAAGAGAGAAAAACAACATAGCCCTGCACCCCACCAGTATTATTTCAAACTCTCCCAAACAATGGAATTTTTTGTTTACATAACACAAGTAGTTTCTCTCTTTTCTAGATGGTCCTAGCATCTACCTTTCATATTAATTCAAAAGATATTAGGAGTCCATTGTGCTGAAGGTACTGCTTTGAAGCTGGCAACCAAATACAACAGTCAGCATTGCCTGCTAACTCCAAGTCCTTATGGAGCTTACATTTTAATGAACAGGGTTAGTAACAATAAATATTGTACATTATTAAATGCAAAGAAAGACCCAGCCATGAATGCGTGAAGGGGAATAAGGTCATGGTACTAAGTGGGGGTGATCAAATTTATTTTCACTTAAAGATACATGGAAGTCACATGCTATTTGGAAAAAGAATAATCCAGAACTAGAGAAAAACAAGTGCAAAAGCCTTAAAGCAGTTTCATCTGACTTGGTGAGGGTTGTCCTGACTAGTGTGACTACAGCTGTGTGAATAGTGGGGAGATAGCAGTAGATCAAGTCAGAGAGGTCAACTGAAAAGTGTGTTATAGGGACATTGTAACAGGCTCTTACCTGAGCAAAATGGAGAGCTTTGGGAAAAAGCACTAGAGAGCTTTGAGCAGAAGTATGCTCTGATCCACTTAGGTTTTTAAAATTTTTATGTTTTACATTTATTTATAGATTGTGTGTGTGTGTGTGTGTGTGTGTGTGTGTGTGTGTGCGTGTGTGTGTGTTTGTAGGGGGTGGTGGTACATACCACAGAGTGCCTGTGCAGGTCAGAGGACAACTTGCAGGAATCAGTTCTCTGTTCTACTATGTAGGTTCTGGGGACTGTCAGGCTTGGAGGCAAGCCTTCTTACCCACCAAGTCATCTCACTGCCCCTATTTGAGTTATTTATTTATTTTGTTGAGATGTGGGTCTCCCTTTAGCCCCAGCTGGCCTGGAACTCAATGTATAGACCACTGGCCTCAGTCTCACAGAAATCTGCCTGCCTTTGACTCTGGAGTACAGGGATGAATGGTGTGTGGTACCATGCCCAGCCCCACTTAGGTTTTAAAGAGATTTTTTTCAGTCTGATGAGTCCACTGTGTTTTGGTATCTGTCAATGAACAACATAGACAAATTTTTAGCCCATAATAGAGCTTATTCATTGTGTGTGGCAGTGGAGACTAGAGAAGGGAGAGTGGGGATATAGTTTTGAACATGCTGATTTTGAGACATCTGTTAGACATTCAAGCAGAATTGAGTAAGAAGCTGTGAGTTGTGGGTTCAGCAGGGAGATTGGTGTGCTTTCATTGGCCTTTAGGGGAAATTAGAACAAAGAGCCCACTGAAGATCATCTGAGCGGAGGGAATGAGGCAAAAAAGAGAATGGAGTCTGTGGACATTCTGCTATGAAGAGCCCCAGAGAGGAGGAGGGACCAGCAAGGACCACTGACAGAGTGGACAGTGGAATCTGAGGGAACCCAGAGGAGGGTAGTGTCCTAGAAGCCAAGAGAACACATTTTCAGAAGGGAGAACAGTTGTATAAAGTTTTTCTGACAAATGACAAATAAAGTATACTAATCACTGTCTTAAACATGATTGTTATTTTACATTTGACATCTCTGACATCAGAATGCACTTTACAGATGATAACAAGGGACAGTCAAATGTACATATCAAATGGTAAGATTATTAGTATATTGAACACTGTACTTAGCCAACCATAGACTATTGGTGGCCTTGACCAAAGAGTTTGAATATACAGTAGTGAGGGATGTAGTGAGCTTTAAAACAAATGAGGTACTGGGGATGCAGCTCAGTGGTAGAATGTTTGCCTAGCATGTGAAAGGCCCTGGGTTGGATCCCTAAAACCATATGTAACAACAACAGCACAAAACAAAGACAAATGAAAGAATAGAGATAAGTCTATTAACAACTTTGGAGTGTTACTGTAAAGGGGAGCAGAGAATTGGGATAGTTGTTGGACAAATAATAAAGGTGTAGTTTATGGTTTTTGAAGACAGAGCAGCCGGCAGCATGGTGCATGTTGAGTGGAATGTCTCCACAGGGAGGGGAACATTTGTAATGTAGGAGAAGGTCAGTAGGACAGGAGTGATGGCCCAAGTGGCAGTGTCAGCCTCAGACAGCAGGGAGGAAGGTGGAGCTGGGGGTGGCAGATGCTCAGGTGTATGGAGTCCATGAGATTTAGAGCTCTTCTCTGACTTTTCCAGGACTCTCGGAAAGTGGAGGAAGCTGGGATGGGGAGAAGGGAAGGGATGAATAGAATTTAGAGGAGACAGGGGTGTGAAAGATTGTCTAGGGGGAGAGTGAATAGATTGGAAAACTGTGGGAGATGATTGTCCTGAGGCTTTCTTTGGTGGAGTTCTGAGTTCAGGACCACTTCACAATTGTGTGGTTTTACCTGCTCCCTTCCACTGCAAGCCATGAGATGAACTTTGGGGTTGTGCTTATCGTTTTGACCAAGAAAGTATGTATGCAAGGGAGAGGGCCTGGGAAGTGAAGGAGTCTATAGGAAAGGGCATGATTGAGCATAGACACTAAGCTGGCAGGGAAGCTAATGACCCACCCATTGCTTCCTGTTCCTATCATGGTAATTCAGAGCAGTCTACACGCATGTCTGATCAACTTCTGCAGTTTCTCTGTCTTGATATGGTGCCCTTCCCTTACTCTGGGCCCAGATTTACTCTTTCATTGTATGGCAGAGCTTGCCCCAGAGCATAGAGCAGAAACTGATAGGAAGCAGTGTTGAAGAGCTAGGATGGTTCTGGCACTAAATGCCTTTCTTTCTAGGCAAGCTTCTTACAGAAACTCGTATCTATTCTGTATTCCTTCATCTGATACCAAATCAGAAAGACAAAATGGGAGCAAAATTACTAATATATGAGAAAACAGTTTACTGATTTTCCCTTTTCCCTTCTTAATTTTAGGCACTTGATGACTTAATAAATAAAGGCTTGCCTGTTATTCTGGTTACTGTTGGCCAACAACATCTCTTAAATAAGTTCTACCTTGTTAAGGCGTTGTTCTTTATAAATGTGGCTGCTACAATAAACTGCATCCCAGATAATTCACTGAAAGCGCTCGACCTTGCACTTGCTGACAAAAGCAAACCGAGTCTCCCAAGCCTGAAAGGTATTTGTTTTTGCCTTTTCACTATTTTCTTCTCTTTCCTCAACTACTTTACCCCACTAATCCTTATGAATACACAAGAATCATATATTCTTCCCTATATTCCCCTGAGCTCACCTAACACATATATACTTATGTCTTGGTGTGTGTTCATACATGTCTGCCCATGTATATTAATAAGAATGTACTGTCATACAGAGTAGGATTTGTCGCTATTTTTTTGTAGAATAGTATACTAGTATTTTGTGCATTTTGCCTATCTTATGCAAAAAAAAATGGGGCTGGAGAGGTGGTTCAATGGTTAGGAGCATTTGCTGCTCTTGCAGAGGACCTAGGTTTCGTTTGGTTCCCAGTACTCACATCAGGCATTGCACAAATGCCTGTAACTCCAATTCCGGGAGATCCAATGCCCTCTTCTGTGTTTATAGGCACTTGCAGGCACATAGCACACAAACAGATATGCAGGTACATACATGTACACCTAAATAAAAATAAATATGTTTTAAAAGTTTCTCTGAAGCCATTGTAAGAAAACTGCTTTGCCTTGGTCCATTCTACTGATTGTGTACTGTTCTGTGCTGTGAATATCCCATGGTTGATTCAAGCATTTCCTTACCAAGATCCACTCACTGTCTCCATGGAACTATGCTACAGTGCTGCATGTTCATATGACAGTGTATGTCCCTGTGATGGGTACCAGTGGATAGATTGTGGTCTATTGGGTACACGTGCTTTTCAAATATACTAGATTTTGCCCTCACAATAAATGTCTTCTGCCACTGTGGGCTTTATCTTTATCTGTTTGTTTTTCAAGAGTGTATGTGTATGTGTGTCATGCATGTGTACATATGTGTGCTCGTGTGTTTGTGTGCATGTATGTGTGGAGGCCTGATGCTAATGTTGGGTGTCTTCCTCAACTGCTCTCCACTTCATTCTCCCTGGGTCTCTTCCTGAATCCAGAACTCGCCAATTCCGACTAGTCTAGTGGGTTCTGAGAATCCAAACTCTGGCCTTCACACTTGTGTGGCAAGCTATTTATCCACTGAGCCATCTCCCCAGCATAGTAGTTTTTAATAGATATTTTTTGTTAGGTTAAGACAGTCTTTAGATAGTTGAATGATTTTTGTCTTGACAGGATATGGGATTTCATTGAAAGCTTTCTCTTTACATATTGGGATGATTATGTGCTTTTTTTTACTATGGATATATCACACAAATTAACTTAAAAATATTCAGTCTGACACCCTCTTCTAACCTCCGTGGGCATTGCAGGACATGGGTACACTTACATACATGCAGGCAATACACCCATACCCATAAAATCATACTAATAAATAAA